TTATTAATAAAGGTCAAAATTCACTTGTCAGTCATCTAACTGAGCCTCTTCTCTCTGTCTTTTTTTTCTGCGATAAACGAATTTAGTTAGTGCTAACATTGATCCAATAATAGTTTCCTCAAAGTGGCCCTAAGAGTCTTTATTAATAAAAGTCAAAATTCATTGGTTAGTCATCTAACTGAGTCTCTTCTCTCTGTCCTTTTTTTTCTGCGATAAACCAATTTAATTAGTGCTAACATTGAGCCAATAATAGTTTCCTCAAAGAACCTTTATTAATAAAGGTCAAAATTCACTTGTTAGTCATCTAACTGAGCCTCTTTTCACTGTCCTTTTTTTCTGTGATAAACCAGCTTAATTAGTGCTAACATTGAGCCAATAATAGTTTCCTCAAAGTGGCCCTAAGAGCCCTTATTAATAAAGGTCAAAATTCACTGGTTAGTCATCTAACTGAGTCTCTTCTCTCTGTCCTTTTTTTTCTGCGATAAATCAATTTAATTAGTGCTAACATTGAGCCAACAATAGTTTCCTCAAAGAGTTCTTATTAATAAAGGTCAAAATTCACTTGTCAGTCATCTAACTGAGCCTCTTCTCTCTGTCTTTTTTTTCTGCGATAAACGAATTTAGTTAGTGCTAACATTGATCCAATAATAGTTTCCTCAAAGTGGCCCTAAGAGTCTTTATTAATAAAAGTCAAAATTCATTGGTTAGTCATCTAACTGAGCCTCTTTTCACTGTCCTTTTTTTCTGTGATAAACCAGCTTAATTAGTGCTAACATTGAGCCAATAATAGTTTCCCCAAAGTGGCCCTAAGAGCCCTTATTAATAAAGGTCAAAATTCACTGGTTAGTCATCTAACTGAGCCTCTTCTCTCTGTCCTTTTTTTTCTGCGATAAACCAATTTAATTAGTGCTAACATTGAGCCAATAATAGTTTCCTCAAAGAACCTTTATTAATAAAGGTCAAAATTCACTTGTTAGTCATCTAACTGAGCCTCTTTTCTCTGTCCTTTTTTCTGCGATAAACCAATTTAATTAGTGCTAACATTGAGCCAATAATAGTTTCTTCAAAGTGGCCCTAAGAGCCCTTATTAATAAAGGTCATTCAGTGGTTAGTCATCTAACCGAGCCTCTTTTTCTGTAATAAACCAGAATATGAAGAGACAGCATCGTTCTACAGACTGTCCCGAATTTAAACGGCCAAACTGCGAGAACTTGATATAAAAAGGAGAAGAAAATGTTATAAAATAGTCTTGTTATAGAGTTACGAACAAATAGCTATGCACATTTTTTTTTAATCATTTCATTTTTACTTATATAGTATTTTATTATTGTAATTACCTTTCATCATATTTTGTCATTATAATTAATGATAATGAAATTGTTAACACATAAGAAAAGACATGTATAATTATATATATATATATACTTAACGACGTTACTGTACGTTAACTCTGTGTACTGTAATGAAAACTGTGTTGCTACTGGTATGTTTCAAGTATACAATATTTGTTCATAATTGTACAAGGTTAACGTCCGGTGTGAAATTTTACCTATTTTCTTCTTTTCATGTATAGATCAAGCTCTCGCAGTTTGGCCTTGTACAGTAATCTTTCGCAATCAATCGTCGACGAGTAGAACAAGAAATTGTAAGAAATTCACAAGAAATTATTTATTATTTAAGTGCTGCTTTACGCGGCACTCCAACAAAATTGCGGCGAGCAAACGTGCAAAACTCGTTGAACGTGCTTGCGAGACACCGTGACGAACGTCACGTTGAAAGAAGTCAATCGAGCGGAGATGTCAAAACTTTTGCGTGTAACGAGCCCCTTGTTGCGACTTGTTGCGCAACGAGTTTGACATAGTCGATTGTTCAAGTAAACCGCGAGAGATTGTCTCGAGGACGCTGCTGTCACGTGCTTTATCTCCGCGTAGTTTTGTCTCGGTTTGATGGTTGAGTAACATTGAGTGACACTACCAACTATTTTGTCGATAATTTTACAACCACAATACGTACGATCTCGACGTGTCGTACATACATACGTAAATTTACTTGAATTAACTTTTATAAATGTGCAATCTGCCTCGGTTCCAAATCAGTTTCGAAGTAATTTTCACGGCTACTTTTGGCAGTGACTAGGGTTTTATTAAGGCTCGAGGGAAATTACAAAATGTGACTTTTCAAACGTACAAAGGACGAATTTCATTCACTTCAATTTGCTATAATAATTGACTATAATAATCTTGGAAATTTACTGCTTTCCCCAAGATTTTAACTTTATCAATTTACAAAACACGATTTTTCAAATGTACGAATGAACACAAGCGTGCTCGTAAATAAAATTTTATTTAAAACACGGCTAAAACGAAACACTGCTTGCTTAAGTAAAATTAAAATTAAAAGAAACTAAAAGCTATAAGAAAAAAATTAAAAATCAAAAGAAACTAAAACAAAAGATGAGAATGTTCCGTCGTTCAAAGGTCCTAAAAAAGTTTGCCTAAATCTCACAATCAGATTTTCCCTTCCAACCTCGAAGCGATGGTTTGTCTGTGTCGAGGTGGTCCTCGGTGGCTCCCGGGTAAATTATGCGAGCGCCGATGTGACACCGATAGCAAAAAAAAAAAAAAAAGGGGAGCGAGGAGGAGCTGATAGGGATATGGCGCGGCGATAGTGTTTGCGCGCGCGTAAACAAGGCACGAGCGACAAAGGCAGCGGGGGGAAGAAAAAAAGGGCAACTTCAATGCAGGCCGCAGGATTTCTCTCTCGCTCTCTCTCTCTCACTCGAGGGGTGTCACAGGATAGCCCAATGTGTACCATAAACTAGCTTTTAAAGGGACCACCAGGGTGGTAAGCCCCGTACACGGCACAAAGGGCACATTTTTGCGGATTAAGGGGCCGCTTTGTGCCATTCAACGTTACCAAAGCAGATTTCAATATCTGGCTGCTGATACACGGCTGGCCGTGCCCCGTAAGGGACTCTACGTTACCGACCGTATTCCCCGTTTGACGACAATAAAGGATGATCCTTATCACGCCTCGTAATGAGGGGAGAGGAAGGAGAAGAAAGAGAGATTATGGCCAACGAATGGTTGGCTCTCGAAGTTAAGCTGCCATTACATAAACGAATCTCTCTAATTTATCGAATTTAGACTCACAATCAGCTGAGTTAAGTCCCTGAATCGCCCCCCTTTTTCCGATTCTTCCGCGATGTTAAAAGGCAGAGCAACTTTCCACTTGTGCACGATGTCCAAATAACATCGTGGAAGCGGAAAGTTGCTCCGACTAAATTAGGAGCGATTAGCGATCGAATTAGGAGAATGGTAAATTATTGCGATTTAATGGCCAACATCAATGAGCATTGAAAGATACGTTTCCTCAGACTACGTAGTTTACGAGAGTGCTGTTTAGATTTAGAGTCGATTTAGATCAATTTAGACGAAAATCATTAAATAATTGCCCGACGAGAACGACAGGCAACGGTCGTTCGATCGACTCTCGACAAGCTGAGGAATCTCCCTCTCTCTCTCTTTCTCAAGCAGTGGTATCTCAAGACCGTCGTAAAAAAAGAAAAGCTTGTTTACCACGATATAAACGTAACCTTAGAAAAGAAGAGTGTCGTGAGCGGCGTTACAAACGAAAGCCCGTTACGTCGTCAAAGAGCAACGAACTCGACTAATTATTCGCGTCGATCATCGGACGCCCGGTCTGGCGTACGAGATAACGTAATAATGCAATTAATTATACGATTATTATTATTATTATTTTTATTATTATTATTATTATTATTACTGATCGACACGTCGCACTTTCTTACGTTACGCCGGCCGTCACGAGACCCGGGGAAAGTGAAGAGCTTTTGTCTCTGACTCATTTCAATCGGGATCGATCGAACCTGAGCATGCACTGATTAAACACATTCCGCGGAACTGTTTGACGTTCAAGGAGTTAATGTTATACATACACCTCTGTATGCGGGAAATTTAGTAAATCTACGGTTACGAAAAAGGAAACATACCGCTGTTTGGTGATAATATAAAGGTGAAGATTTCTAAACAAAGCACCGGTTCCTCTATTTATGCGACACTTTTTTTACGCGGCCAGAAATATATATATAATGTATGTTATATAAATTAAATATATATATAATGTATATTACATAAATTAAATATATATATAATGTATATTATAAATTATATACATATATTATATTAATATAGTATATATATATAATATTATAATTATATTAAATTAAAATAATAATAACAGAATAAGAATTATAAATTGATCAAAACGGTCAATGAGTCCTAAAATTTCAACAAGATTTAAAGAAATGTCGCAGCGAATATCAGCAAATTTATGAAAATTTACGAAAAAGATAAGTTTGAGAGCAAATTATTCGAAAAGATTACCGATGAAAATGAAGTCGAACTTGCAAATATTTCAAACGACGGGGATAATGAGTTTGTGCTGGTTAATTGTTTTGAATTACAGTAGCGATGGTGATACCGAATAAAATTTACTTTTGTTTTCTGAAATGTCATCGTCATTATTATTAGTAATTTTTTTTTCTGTGAAATTAATATGTGTTTCTACAACTTTCCAATATTTTGTTCTCTTTTTTACTGAGACTTTATTTATGCGATTTTCACTCGTACAAAACGAATCCACGTGAAACGGAGTGTAATTTTTTTTTTAATACTGAAATTACTAACGACTGAAGTATAATACTTTGCGAAGAAGTTACAAAGAAATTAAAGTGCAAGATACAAGAAGAAATTAATAATAATAAGGAACATGAGCTTCCATTAATTTTATTTTATTAAAAATTACTCAACCATCTAAAAAACATAGTACTGTTATATATACAGTGGGGTGCAAAATTGAGTCAATAACAAAAATTTTTAAGAAAAATATTTTTTATTGTTAAATAAAGAATAAAAATATGAAAATAAACTCGACTATCTGATTTTTTATAGTTTTCGGAAACTGAAGCTATTTTTTAGCTTTTAAGATTAAGTTTCTTCCTGGCTGAAAAAAATTAAGAAACACAGACTGTTTGAAAATATGCCAAGACGTATTAGAGCTATTATCTAAGCAAAAGGCTTATAGACAAAATATTAAAGTATGATAAAGCTTGTAAATCTGACTACGAAAAAATTCCGGTGCAAAACTGATTCTATGTTTTTTTAATTTTTCCAACCAGGAAGAAACCTAATCTTAAAAGTTAAAAAATAGCTTCAGTTTCCTAAAACTATAAAGAATCACGGTCGAGTTTATTTTCATGTTTTTATACTTTATTTAACAATAAAAAATATTTTTCTTAAAAATTTTTGTTATTGGCTCAATTTTGCACCCCACTGTATATATATATATATATAAAATTTCCATAGAAAATGGTCATAAATCGGTCATTTTGACCACAGTAGTAGTAGTTCTAATGTCAAAGATCAAAATAATTTTTAATATTGTCGCATTTTAATATCAATTTTGTACTGAAAGTTCGAAACTGAAAATTAGGTTACAGATCGTCAGATCGTCGTCAGATCACGTTGATTAGCCGGATATCCAGATTCTCGCGGAGCTGCGCAGGCGCGAGAGAGTCCAGGCTCGATTCTACGATTGGCCTCGCGGCAAATTGCCGACTCAATTGATCCCGTCCTCGGCTCGACGGACAGGCCTAATGATTCCTGACTGCAGGAGACCACTGGCGTGGCGTCACTTTTCCGATCGTTCTGCTCTCGGCCGTTCCACGTCCGATGTCACTTCCGGCAGCTCGACTCGATAAAATCAAGGAAGTCTCGCGATCGTACGTAGGCGTAATCGAGCCCGATTCCCTCCCGTTTCATCCATCAGCCATAGCAAATCGGCTCGCGTCGAAGACACGTGTTCATTATAAACGTTGGCGCAGGGTAAGCGAAGGAATTAATCCAGACTTGTTTTAGATCTTGTTTCGTTCGATCGAGAAACAGAGGGAACAAAGAAACGTGTGCTAACGAGTTATGACCACCAGAACGATTCAGTCAACCTTGATTAATAGTTTTAGCAAATGTTGGAGATATCAACGAGTAATGTCGTTTTTTTTTTTCTCAAATTTAATAAGCACTACCATCTGGTGACAATAATTTAACTTATTATATAAACAACCTGTATTATTCTAGTTAAATATAATAAATGAAATTTAGCGTGTTCATGGTTAAATTACGTTGTAGATTAAAACTTGAATAAAATAAAATTTTGTATAAAGAAACGACGTATTATTTATGGGTACATATACGCAGTTGTATTTGTAAGTATGAATATGAGAAACGCGGGATTGTAAGTTAAAGGTGTTGAAACATCGTCTGTGCCGTCATCGAAGTCTTCGTCGAATTGTGATTCACCTGATCTGAGTAATCATAACACAGAAAAATTCATTCAAAACTCATCAACGAATCTTATCTGGTTCAAAGCACGAGTCTACCTTTCGCTCAACCACGATAATTCATAGAGACGCGTAAATTCGGGATCGTGGTCGGGTCGTTTGTGTATTTAAGACCTGGGCCCTTCGAGGGTCCAAAGTCGACTTGCCTTCGAGCGCGAGAAAAACCCATCCACGTCACGTTCAAACACGGCCATGATTGTACAGAATACGTTTAAACCGCATGTCTCGACGACAAAAAGTAAAAAGTCAGAACATAACGAAGATTTGAAATATTCAAATCCAAGAGTCGATCTTGCTGCACGCTCATCTTAAATCTACGCGAATAAAGCGATAAATATAAAATTTTTCACCAGCGAAAATCTAGTCTATTTTAACGAAGCGATTTAATTGCGGTTATTGCGTAGTTATTACGTTATTGAATGGTTTGTTCTACCTGTGAGATTTACTCCGTTATTTAATGTAACATGATTCGCAATAGCTTATAACATTATTACACGTTCCGCTGTAAATACACGTTCTTTGTACGTTCAATTATCTTTAAACGCTTAATTAACGCTGCTTAATTAAAGTTTAATTGCACCGAAACACGAGATAGTGGCTCTCCTCCTCATTTCCTTCCCACTTCGTTGCAAACGCGTTCTTTTATGCAAAGCACTTCGATTTACAAAAGATACTTCACGCGCTGTGCGTGCTCTTTCGCCACAATGGGAGGAGAAAAAAAAAATAAATCCAACATTCGTGACATTCCAACGCCTTTCCCCTAACAAAACCACGCCTTCTTTTTTCGAACGAACTCAAGGATTTCTTTCACGCTCTCTCAATTCTCAATCGATCACTTTCAAACGTAAAATACGCTACGATATATTCTCAAGAAAAGAAAAGAAAAAAAAAAAAAAAGATAATATATCTAACTCGTACATTTCGAATTTCTCCCTTTTATCTTTTCCCACAGATCCTTCAACACGACGCTTTTCATTTCCGTCCTCTCCGAGTTTCATTAAACACACCGGTTGAACTTTGTTTTCCCGCTTTCACGCCCGATTCGTTGATTCGTCCACGCTGTAGAAACTGTAGCAACTGTTGTCACGGTAAAAGAGGATCGCGAGAAAATTCCACGTAGAATTTCCCCGCTGACCCAGTGACTGGCTCGTACGTTCAACGTGCTGGGATGATCGATAAGATCGCGCGTTGCAACGGAGAAACGGCGTTTTATTACAGCGAAAAGGTGAAAGCCAGCGCGAAAAAAAAAAAAAAGAAAGAAAAGAAAAAGAAAAAAGAAACGCACGATGAAAAAGAGGAAAATGAGGGAACCGTTCCATCTAGAGCTGTTTTAAATACTGCGCACTGTCTGCTGAACGTCGTTCTCACGCACAATGTGCCACGGGGCAAAAAGAAAGAAATCCGTTCACTTTGTAATTGCAGTTGCAAGCGGCTGTTGGCGTGCAGCTACGCGCTGTTGCAGAACAAACAATTTCATACGCGAGAAAACGCACGACCACCTCGACGAAATTCTTAACAATGCGCTCGGAAATGTGAAATCGAACGAATTTTGGTGCCACTTTGCAATCGTAATCGCCTTCTCGTTGTCATCGTTTTTTTGTTTGAACTTTACGAGTAGCGTATCAAACAACTGTACTTTGTTGCAGTTTGTTTGTATCGGTTATTATAATTAATTTGTAGTTAATTTCAGTTATGTTTAAATGTAACAGATGGCCTGTTTGTTGATCATAGAGATATGATAAAATATGAATGTGATGCGACAAGTCCAACGTAGGAGCGCTTTTCTTTTTTTTTTTTTTTTTTTTAAAAAAACCAGAGTCGTGAGAGAGCGTTGAAAGAGAACTGTTGAAAAGTGTCAATTGTGTTGTTAAAAGAATTTATTTCAGTTGTTAATTCGTGTTGTTTCAAAGTAATTTGTCTCGTTTAATTATCCGTTGTTCCATCATCATAATTTTCATTAAATAAACATTACTTATATCTCTACGTTACTTATAAAAATTACTAAAGTGTATCAGATGATTTTATTGCTTGTAAGAAAAAAAAAAAAAAACACTTGTAATTTACTATCACGTCGCAGCGAAAAATATTTATAGACGCTATCGCCCGGTTGGATCGATCCATATATACGTTATCGTCAATAACATACAGCCGTAGTTTAGACACCGTAGAATGTATCTTCATTTTAAACAAGTTTCTCCCTTCGTATCTGTCGAGAACGCAATTTTCATCGCTTCGTTCTAATCGCGATGTCAGAGATATCAGAGAGATATCGACGAGCGAAATACTTCACTTCGAACGATATTCTCAAAGTATTTTGATTTTGAAGAAAACCAAGGGATACGCTACAGACTACAGAGAGAACGAAGGAAATGGAGGTAAATAGAAAGCAAACCCGAGGCAGCAATTTCCAACGGGTTAAAGAGCAAGAAATCGCAATAGCTAGTCGCGAATCTAAGCGTAGTGAGGCGTATGCAACGCCTAACAACCAGGAAGGCCGACGAGGCGGACGGAACGTTATTTCCTTTCTGTCCAGTTTTCGAACTGAATCTAATAATCGACAGGAGGGAGCGAACTCCCATTGAAGAAAAAAGAAAAAAAAAGAAAGAAAGAAAAAAAAAAACTGAGATCGTGAGAAAGCGAGGCTCAGCCTCCTATTCTGGTTCTCTCTCTCTCTGTTTTAAGCACGTGATCGAGGCGCGCCGTGAAATCCGCTGGGAATGAATTTCCGGCGTATTCTCACGTTCGACCGTTCGCGGAAGGACACGATTTCCTGTTCGCGGGTCCGATTCATCCAGTCCGTAGGACCGCGAACTGATCTCCTGGTATCCTGGCGTTCGGGATTGCATTGAAAACGGTAAAACAAACTTCGTCAACGACCATTCGCGGCCGATAACGCGTAGTTTCGCGTCATTTTAAATGGTCTGACTGAGTGGCCGGTAACGTGGTCTTACGTCGTTTTAAAATTGGCGCTTTTGCTGGCTGCGAAGCTTATTACATTAGGAGTTCCCGCATAGTAATGTCGTTTTCTTTGATACTGTACCAAATTTTATTTTGTTTAAGTGCTAATCTATAATATCATTTACAACAATATAATATAATATAATATAATATAATATAATATAATATAATATAACATAATATAATATAATATAATTTAATAATAAGCACACTGAATGTCAATATTTAACTATAATATAAGTTATGTTATAATGAGTTATTGTCACTAGATGGCAATGTTTATTAAATTTGAAGAAAACGACACTTACTTATGGGTATTACACCAGATGACTGAATACAATTTTCAAAGTTGTTGAAAATTTGAACATTGCCATCCAGTGACAATAATTCATTATAACATAACCTATATTCTAGTTAAATATATTGACATTCAGTGTGCTTATTGTTAAATTATTATATTATATTATATTATATTGTATTATATTATATTGTATTATATTATATTGTATTATATTATATTATATTATATTATATTATATTATATTATATTATATTATATTACATTATATTATATTGTTAAATTATATTGTAGATTAGCATTTATTATATATATAAGCGAACAATAATGCAATTGTTCAAACTGCAACAATATCGCTAAATATAGTTGATAGAGCAGTATCAAGTTTGCAAAGTGAACACTTGTACGAGTAAGAAATTCATTCATCACCAATTCTTTTATCAAAATTATCAAATTTCTATATTAGGTTTTACGTATTTTCTTTACACACTAATCGTTTAAAAGAAACCCTTACTGTAGAAGGAGATAATTTCGCGAATAACGTTTACGCGGATGCGTTTTCCGATTGTGAATTGGAGTCATCCGAATCCGATAATGATAGCGATGACACAGAACAGCGATACAAGCCGGTACAATTCAGCGAAGGAATATCAGAATAATAAGAAGCAACGAAGAGACTGATAATTCCGTAATAGAGATGAAACTCTTACATCTGGTCGAGATGTTTTTTATATTCACACACGCACACAAATAGCAGATTCTAGTAGCGATACTCAGCCACAAGTTTTTGGAAATTATTCAGCCAAACGTTTCTGCCGATCGTGAACGTGTTAACTGGAAATACTGAACTATTCGACTGACTGGCTTCCCTTGAGAAATCGTCCAGCATCGTATTCTCGGCGACGGGTAAAAGCGGAAATCGAGAGAGTGCAAGTTGCGAAACGCGAACGCGCGTGATTTACGAGAAGCGTTGGAAAATTGTATCGAAAGTTACGATGCGAACGAATATGGTGGCGTTGTTTGACGCTCTTTACGAGGAGGCAAATGAAACGTTGTAAATTAGAATCTGACTAAAGCGTTGCATGGAAAGTTTTCAAAAAAGGGTTTTCACTCGCCACGCTGTAGTAACTATAGAAATCGCTGCATCGTGTCGTTACTTTCGAGTATCGAATCGATTGCAAAACACGGGACGAAACCAGAGACAATTCGTGATATCGAGACGCGAATGAGATCCACGATAAACATTCAGCATTCCTTGAAAATCGTACAAAATTATAATTCAAGTAAAGTTATGACAAAAGGTGACTACCACCAAAGTCATGAAAATGGCCAATTTATAATTTTTGTCAGGTATCTTTACAGCGTATTTTCAATGATTTAAATAATTTTTTGTAAAATATACAAATAAAAGCTACGTATTATAAACATTTCTCTATTTTTCTCGACTCTCAACGTCTCTGATGAAAAAATTTTATGCTTCGATCGTCGGCAGCTTATCTTAACTTATTAAGAAGAAAACAAATGAAACATTAGCTATTAAATTAGTATCTAACTAGAACATTCTAGAAAGTTTTACGCACGTACATGCTAAACAAAAAAGTTTTCTCGACACGCTGTAGCAAGCTACACAACTATCAAAAAACTACCGCACCAATCGTCGTTACTTTCGAGTACACGCCAAACCGATTGTAAGACACGAAGTTCGCATGAAAACACGAACGAGACGGAGAAAAACGTTCGAAACGTGCAAAATGGCTCACGGACACTCATGGAATCATTTTCAAGCATCGCTGCAAGTTGGAGCGCGTTAAGCACGATCGGCGTTACAATTAAGTAACAAGCGCAGTCGTTTCGAAATCATTTCATAACGAGACCTAGATTCGACCGGCTCGCGCTCGCCCTGAAAATTCGTTTCACTCGCTCTCTCGGCGTGGCGTGGCGTGGCGTGGCGTGGCCTGGCGTGTATACGTTTCATTCGGCGAGCATTGAGCGGTTCGCGATTAGAGCGCAGTTACTGACAAAACACCAACGGGATTCTGATGTCATTTCGCGCTATTGCCGCGGCGAGTCCGCCATTAACTGCTCGGTTGCCACCGAGTGCCATCCCATTCAGGCAAATTAAATTTAGTAGCTTTTCAGCCGTAGACGTGCACCCTCGTACGTCTTTGTTATCGCTTTTTACCTGCTTGACCCCGATGTTGCAACACTTTCCGCTTTCAATTATTTCGTTCGCGTTTCACGACCCGAGAAATGGATCTGCAACTGGACGTGCAACTGGACGTTCAATGGGTTTGAAAAGGTGGGCGATTCAGTCACAACAGTCAAAACAGAAGATGAAAATTTTGAGAAGCCTTTGAAGGAGACGTTTACATTTTCACATTTGTACGACTTGTGATTTTTGTATCTCGAGCGACGTTCTCGAGCATCGATATATTTGCAGAAATGAAATTTTATGGTTATAACGCGTTGTTTATATAAACGATCGATATTGGATCTATGATATTTTGGTTGTTTTGTATATTAAAATTCGATGGTGTCTATATTTTAGGTAATACATTTGTAGAAATGAAATTTTATGATTATATTGTACTGTTTATATAAATATTTGATTCATAAACATTCCGTGGAACGATATGTTTCCTATTCTCTCAGATTTTCACGCACGATTCGTTCGAAGTGACGTGTCGAATTATTCGAGATTTGCGAAATACAAAATTGTCCCTTGACCCTAGTTCAGAAAATTCGAAAGAGTCGACTGAAGAGAGGAAAACAAAGTACGAAGTTCGTAAAACACGTACTTTAGGAAAACGTTCTCATCCGCGAAACAGCCCCAAAAGAGCTTTCGCCGTTCTCTGGAAAACCACCGATCGCCGACAGCTAACGAACGAAAAAGTTACGCGGCGAGCAACGTCGAAGTCCCTGAAATATTCATACGGTACTTATATCCTCTTTCAGCTTTCGTGCTGCTTTCGGCGTCGAGTCATCGCATCGTATCGCGAGCGCAGCGATGTGACGTGCATCTGTTCTCCTGCTTTGTGATACCTTCGTCGTACGCGAAAATTCGATCGTCAGTCGAAAATAAGAGAGAAAAAAGAAGAACTGGGAGGGAGAAAAAACAGAGCGGAAAAAGCAACGATTTTCGGAGCGCGAACCGTGGTGTCATCGCGATTTTTCACAGCGAAAGGGAAGGCAAGACATGAAATGAGAGAGAGGCATCGAGGTCGATCCATTAAACACTCGTTTGCAGGGACCAGTTCCGGGTGCCGGATGGGATTCCGTGTTTCACGGAAAACGCGAAAAACTGTGGGAAAATTCGCGGTATTCGCGCGACGACAATAGATCCGCGGTAGGGAACAAAGGGAGAAAAATCGACGAGAATAAAGATAGAGACAAACGACTCTGTTACACGATCGGGCGTTACGACTTATCTGACGTGATACCGGCGCAATATGGCCCCGAAAGAGCTGTATCGAGCGATATCGAGTGGCGACCTTATGTCGCTTTTTAGAGGAAATCGGCCACACGTATCTCGCCTGCGCCTGTGCGATCGAGTTCTCGCGTTCGATGGAACTACGCCGGAATAACGCGACCTAAAGAAACTCATTGGGAATGGAATGGAAAAGCGTACGCTACGAGTGCAAACGGGAATACTCGTCGAGAGAAAGAGAGAAAATATGACATTAACGCGTCGAACGTTTTCTTGCACGCGAGAGAGGTGATTTTGAAATAAGAAATTAATCAGTTATCAGGACGAGACAGATACCGGTTGACTGCATCACGAACTGTAAATAATAATTTATCTTGATATCCAGGAAATTGCCGAGTCTCTTTTAGCACAACTTCGAATATTTCAAATTTATTTCGACCCAAATACTCCGAAAATAATCGAGATCACGAAATTACTCTGCATCTATTATTGAAAGGACAAAGAGGTAAAGGATTCGAGTTGGAAAAAAAAAAAAAAAAAAAAAAAAAGAAAGAAAAGAAGTCGCGGCGAGGGAATCCAACAAAAGGAAGTACAATCGCGCTATGGCTTTCTTCCTTCAACCAACCAACCTACCGACCAAATAACTCCTTGGCTTGAAAGGCAGGTGGCTGAAACAGGCTACCGCATAAGTAGGTCTCCTGCATTTTTAACGCGATCCTCGTGCTTAAATGGCTACTCGTGAAATTGCTTTACCGATACGAAACCGATACAATTAGCCACAATTGCAATTACATAGAATAAAAGAGACTCGAGAAGAAATATGGTTCTTCCATGAAATTACCGAAGCTGCTTCGATCGTGATTCATCGACGTAATTCTTTCAGAAAGTTGAAGACCAATTTAACGCTTTTATATTTAATTCGATTGGTAACGTTGCATCGAGTCTATCGTAATTCTTCTAAATTAAAGTTTCTAACTGAATTGTGTCTTTTCATCTGTTCATTAGCCAGCTGTTTTCGTCGTGCAAGGTACGAAAAAATTTCCATTCGAAACGAAAATTCACGCGACAGAGGAGGTAACACTGCGTGTTTCGCTAGAACGAGACGATTTTCTTTGAGGGGACACGGCTCGTCCTTAATTAAGGCAGACCTCTCGGCGGGTGAATGCGAAATAAAGGAAAAAAAAAGCTCGCGTTCGCTCGCCAAGCAATTTCTGGCCAACTAACGGAACCCGCTGAATTCGTCGCTGGGAATCGCGCGAATTTCGATCGCTTCCTCGACCTGATTTACGAGAGCATCCCTGCACCCGACCGCGATTTTGGTCACGATTCTGCTATATCTGTATTTACATTTAGACAAAATGTGACTGTTTTCTGTAATTGAATTCAAAAGGAAGACGAGTCATTGTATACGGTTTGGTCGCTCGTTATGGCCCGCAACTGGTTAAACAGGATGATTATTTCCAACGCTTGTGTCATTTCATTTGAAGTGATACTTCAACTCATTGTCAGTGTTTCGTGAATAAATTGGAAAATACTTTCGAGGTTACAAAGAGTTAAAAATATCGTCACGATAGAAATAGAAATTCCGCAACAGTCGAAGACTAAGCCGACGAGAAAGAAAGAAAAAAGATATTCTTTCTCTTTTATCGATTTTATCGCTTTCCATATCCGTGATTGTTACACACGGCCTCTCTCACTCACCTGAGTGTATCCCTGCGTCGGCGTCGGCGTCCTCGAACACGGACGACTCGGTGCCCTCGTCGTTATCGGCGACAAAATCGTCCGGCGTTTCGGTGTCCTCCTTCGACGATTTCTCAGCCCTGGCGGGCGTCGCGACGCCGCACGGGCTGTCCACCGACGCGTGCCTGCCGGACACGTGCTTCACCAGCGTGCTCGTGCTTCTCGCCAGCTTGGTGCTGTGAGTTCTACGTATCAACAAGTTCGTGAACGTGGTGCTTTGCTTGCTGCTCCTCGTCTCCGTGGTAGCGATCTTCGCCGCGCTGTTCGAAGACTTCGCGCTCGAGGGTCGCTTGTCAGCATCCGGCTTCCTCCTCGAGGCGGAATCCTCGTCCTCCACCTCGAAATACGCGATCGTGTTGTTCAGGCGGCTGTCCTTTCGACTCGCGTCCTTTCGGCCGGTGAACCGGCTGTGAAACCTCTCGATGGTCTTGAACGACCTGGTCCTCTCGACCTTCTTCCTCTGATCGCAGCCTCCATTCGACACCTGTTCCACCTTCGACGCCTCGAAGATCTTCGTCAACGACTGCACTTTGCCCCTCGATTCCGGAAACGCCGGCTCTTCCCCGTGCCGCGGATTCGACAGCGAGTCGTTGTTGCTCAACGTGCGGGTTAATATCACCGAATTCGGCGCCGCTTTCGTCGTCGTCACGGGGAACGTGTTGCTGACGAACTTGTCGATCGGCTCGGCGCTCGTTTTCGGGATCTTGGACGGTTGTCCGCGGGCGTCGGTGTCCAAAGACACGTAGAAGGTCGATCGACGTTTCGGCGACCCGTTCTCGGTGTTCTCGGCGTTCAACATGTTCTCCTCGAGGATGCGGCTCGCTCACATGTCACGATTCACCAGTTGTTGCTTCACGATCGTTCAACGAAATCGGCCCATTACGCGTCCACGGCGACTCGCGAGACGACGACTGCAGGTTACGCAATTATGGACGCGGCTTTACGTCGTGCGAGATCGTTAAAGACGTCACCACGCGTTCACCGTCGCGGCAATTCCGCCGTAGAAGTTTACCGGAATGCACCATAGGTGGTTTCTCGCCGCCATCGCATCGGTCCAACCGAGCCGACCGAGTTCACTGAAATTCACCTTATGCCTCGTTCTTCACGCGTTAGAAAGAGAGAGACAGGGAGAGAGAGAGAGTGAGAGTGAGTGAGATTTCGAAGGAACCGAGCGAACGAACACGCACGGTCGTCGACTCACGAATTTCCTGCTCCCGAACGATCTCCCTAAATATAGATGGCGGCTAGTATCGGCGCTGCTCGCAGGAGCACGTGTATCGAGAAAAACAAATACAACAACGATCGCCCTCCGTTGCGTACAGATAATGCCAAGCGTTGAACCGTGGACACTATTTTTATTTATCGGCCGATGTTTTCACTCTCTCGGTCGGTCAACTAACGAAACTCTCAAGATCGTTGCACAAACGCTCAAATCCACAGACGTTCGCCGATTGTGAGGTGAGCTTGCTGCTCTTTGTCACCTTTCGATCGCACGGAGACGGTTCCAAGAATGCAGGAAATACCATCGGCGTTGACTTCTTGCGCCGGAATGACGTGCCACGCACGTCGAGAATATTTCGTCCAAATATTGCAATATTTTCGCAGTTTTCAGTATATTGAATTATAACCCAAAGGCGAAACAAACAATAAATTTGTTAATAACTTCGTAGTAATTTCTATCCAGTGATGTACCGACGAATTCGAAAAAAGAAGACGAATTGTTGTATATACGGTTTGGTCACTCGTTACGGTCCGCGAACCAATTACTAGTGCAAGAGGTTATAACACAGCGGCGCGTGCGTACGTTTCGAAAAACGAGTCGCGCGATAAGGGAACCTCCTCGCCACGAGCGAGAGCCACGTCTGTCTGGAGTCGTGTTCACGGCCTCGATAGAAAGGCGATCGACTCGAAGCGGTCGACCGGGCACCAGGTATACACCGAAGAAAAGTAAAAGGATCTGAGTCACGGCGAGATCGAGTCGGTTCGCTGGCCGTCATCGGTCGCGCCAACTTTCGCGGGCCAACAGCCCGGCATTGTTTCACCTGTTTTTCCGTCCCAAGGGCAGACACACGCGGAACACGACGCACGAAATCGCAAACGGCACGCACGACCGACAGGCAACGAGTAAACAGAACGGAGCAACGCGCGATCGTCCGCACGGCAGACGGGTTCACGACTATCTGCTGTTCGTACTTGTGTGTGCCGAACGTCACCTGCGCGCCTCTCGCGGCTGTTCCGAGCAAACAGCTCGAGACCGACTGGTCGTCGCGCCACTCCCGCCACTTTACCACAGCCTACAGACAGGATCGAGCGTGTCCAGAACGCGTTCTTTCCTCCTTTTAATCTTTCCATCGTTTAATCGCAACGGTTGATGATTCGCGATGATGTCTGAACTGTTCCCGACTTCTTTTCAGATTTTCAGATTTTAATGAAGCCGGCCGAGACGGGAAGAAACCTGAGCGCGTACGACTCGGCGAAATTCTTTCGCGGGGCTAATTAGAGATGTGGGAATTTTAAAAGGTAGATAAGATAGAGCGAACGCTGGAGGTTGAAAGTGACCGCGCAACATCGGGCGGATTTTTGTAATTGACCTTTTGCCAACAAGACGGATATTTCCACGTGCACAGTCTGAGTAGAACCGATTCGAAACGGAAAATGAGGGAAAGACGTGAAATTCGTGTCAGACAATTGCCGGCACGTGAGTGCGCAATATCTGTGGCATTTGACACAGCTGAAAAACTTGGGGATAAATTTACAAGGGGAACGGACTATGAATTTAATGAAGTATAGCAAATTTAATAAAGAAAATTAAGAAAAAAATAAGGATTAGTTATTTAATATATATATAAAGTGTTGAAACAAGATATCAAGATACCAGTATATCTAGTAAAACCATGATCAGTTTTGAACGGAGTACAGTTGAAATCGTTACATCAACGATCGACAAATTACAAGAGAAATTCTCGAGAAATTCAAGTGCGTTCTCTTTATGGTGAATTGGTTAAACACGCAACATGTGAGGAGACAAAGACCGTTACCTTTGTGAATCAGCTTCAAATAAACAATTCAACTATCCACTTCGATTATTTAGGATCACAAATTAAATAAGGAAAAAGAATTAGATTGGCTAAATGTGTTTTTAAAACGTCATCCATCGTATCTTAATATTTGTAAATTAGAAAGCATTTCTTTGTGTTGAATAGAGTAGAAGTTGAGTCAACTTCATATTTTCAGTTCTGTTAGAGCAGAGAAAATCTCTTAAACAAACAAAGAAATATATTTCATTTGAACGAGACAGGCCTACAATTGAATGATATGTATTTTCTATCTGGGCCGGATAATCCGGCTGAAATGGCATAAGACGTCATTTCTTTTGCTTCTGAAAATCTATAGTTATTGTTTAATTATAAATTTATATGTATCTACTTTCACAAATATGTTTATCTCTTTAGACATCGATTATGTTCAAGATGTAGTGATTCTTTTAAGAAAATCCGGGCCATCACTCCGACTTATTCTATTGTGTATTTGTATATTAGTATATATATATTATTTATAATTATTTATAATTACTTATAATTATATATATTATTTACAATATATATAATTATTTATAATGGTAATTTGTTATGAAACGTTAAACTGTACGTAGTTGCGAAAAATTAAATATAATATAATAATTCTTTCAAACACTTTGCTGATTCACGGCGTAGAAAATGGAAGAAAAATTAATTAGCATAAATTCTTTCTTGCGTTGCGGAATAATCTTTCCATGAAAACTGAGCTAAGCTGAGCCCACCTCAGTGGGAAGCAAATCAACCGGCAAATTTCATTTTTCCGTGTTTCGAGTTTCACAGTCGGCAATTGCCCGAGAATTGTTCGAGAATCGGTGCCCATTCAATTCCAACAAAGTAACATGCAGCTGAATCCGTTAAATGGATTTAGATTCTCAAAGCGGAGCTGCATTGAAGTTGATTCCATCCTTATTGGAGCCTATCACACTCGATCAAACTTCTATTTAGGTTGCGCCGGTGCCATTCTTCGCTCCTTCATTGCACGGTACAAGAATCTAATTCCGTTCGCGATTTGCAAAGATGAAATTCGCGTCACGTTTCAGCCGTCGATAGTGTGTGTCAATTAATGTTCAATGGTCACTGTTCGAAGGTTAGTAGCTCGTATTTTTTTTTTTTTTTTCTACGCTCCTGAATGAACAGTTTCTCAAACTCCAAACGACGAAAGATCTTCGCATCTTCTTTCTTCGAACGATCGATACCTCTTGCAATTTACAAATTAATTATCTATTGTTTCTATATAACACGCATCGCGCAACAATCGGAGTTCCAGAATTTCACAGATTACCGTGCCACATTACTAGAAATTCGACAACGGATTCCACGCTGCTAATGGCCACGGTAATTTAGATTCGTCGACGTAATTGGAGAGATAACCGATGAAATAAACTAACTAATTAGACGAGGTTTCTCTCGTCGCGAAATGAATTTGCACGAAAATTCCAAGATGCTTCAATCGGTGTGTTTTAATAGATTTCACGGTACAAGATCTAATTTCCAGATATGTATATCACATCCAGTGATCGATACCTCGAGAGAGTGAGTCATTGAATATCTCGCCTCTGTTCAATCTTGATATATTTAAACAACGCTGCAGAACATCGATCGTTTCTAGCTGTTAAGCACGATTAAGCACTTGGGCGTATCGAAAATGTAGCATCCTATCGACTGTACCACGGTATATGGGTATATTTTTAAAGACAGGAAACGCCTCTCTGAAAATAGAAGACCGTCTATTCGAATGATCTTGCCCCGATTCCGATAGACTTGGTGTGCGGAGGAATTCAAAGAAATTTACGACGTAAAATTGTTGGATATACGTATGGGCGTTCGTTGAAATAAGCAGGGACGATTTTACCTTTCGAGGAAAACGTTTATCCGTTTAAATGCAACTGTGACAAGAGTCTTCCTTTTATCATTAGCAGCTGATGAAACATTTAACATTCTTAGAAAAAAAAAAAAAAAAAAAAAAACCATTGTCTAATGGATACAACATAATTGAAAAACACCGCCACTCGAAAGTGAAATTTAAACTGAAGTTTGAAATGATTTTTATTTTTTCTTCGTGGGTGTATCGGCGTTTCGCAAACTATTTTTTCCACGCGGGACAGCAAATAGAACAGCATCGTCGTTCGTTTTCTCACGTTCGGATGGCCGATAAAGTGAACGTCGCCACGGCGTAAGTGAGATGCAACAGCAAAACGATACTTTCGACAGTTACAGATTAGATATTTGCGCCAACTGATTGTGAGTTATACAAGTTATAAAGCTGCAGATCGTGTGTGTCCTCCCATCCTGCTCGAATATCCCAGAAACACGAGCCAAGTGACGCGTTTGTTACGAAAAAGAAACGCGAATATGTCCCATGGGCCATTCACCGTCCATTACGAGCGTTCAAAGCACCGCTGACTCAGACCGGACCTAAGATCGCAATCGGCGGTCGTTTCCTGCTTCGCAGAAACTCTTTCGAAACTAGAGCAAACGCTCTCGATTTACTATCACGACGATTTCCATCCTCCGCGCGAAAAAAAAAAAAAAAGAAAGAAAGAAAGACAATTTAATTCTAAAGAGAAGAGATTCATAAACGCGGCAAAACTGCTCGTTCATCTTCGCTGGACAATTTCTATGGCAACCGTAAGCTCCATGGCGACTTTCTCTACGAAGTATCTAAAGTACATTTCACCGAGGAAAAGTTGTGCACTTTTACCAATTTGAATATATTTCTCATATAAAAATGGCACTGTTACAGGTAAAATTTGATTCATTTCTGCGAAATCTCTTCGAGCTGCAACGTGCTCCGATTCTGACAAAATTTTTATCATTCACTCGCCAGTCACTGGCGAGTCGAAATTCATTTTTATCGAATTTCTTTCGCGTTGCGAGGCTATCGCGACGTGGACAGTGTGTCTGGTGTTTGCGTTCATCGTGTCCGATAAATATACGAGGGATAAATCGCTCCGCGTCGTTACGTAAGTCAAAACTGTGACAGCTGCAATTACGCCTGCACCGTTGGAATTTCAATACTGACGGTGGGTGCTGTATCGAGAGATGCTCCTTGAAACGATATTCAAATTTCGTTATCAGTAGGCGGATTATTCCAAGAATCTGTACTTCGTTCAACGCCGATTTACTGAGAGTCTGCATTTAAATTTGACTCGGCTCGCGCACCAACGTGGCTAATTCCGTTTTGCGTTGACGTTGCGTCGGAGTATAATTAGTAATTGTAATTAGATAATAAACATCGATGGTGGGCATTAGTTGAAGAATTTATCTTACATTTCAACACTTTCCCCGGGCAGGATTGTTTGAAACGAGAGTTGATTATTCGTTAGAACTGTCATTACAAAAGCTTTATAAACAAATTGTACAATTTTATTACTCTAACCTGTCAACGTGACTAATTTCCTAAACAGCACGGCTATATTAAAATTAATATTAATTCCCATTTGAACAGAGACACAATTACACGTATTCGTCGATTTATTTTCAATCGTCACTTGAATTATAGCGATTCGTATTTTGACACCATTTGTTTTAGCGT